CATATACATTTCCTGACAAAAGAGTACATTGAACCTAATTTTCTGATGAGCCCTTATAAAATATCACCATGCTGAACTAACCCAAAATGTGGGCTGCCTGTACCAAATATGCCAATTTTAGACAGGGTGCTTTCATCAGAACACAAGATAAAAATTTTTATTTGAAAGCTTTTCTGAAATTAAATAGCATAAAGCGAAGATAATACTCCATATACACTTCATTCTTTGCTGTTTAATAGACTGACAGAAGCAGACACATTTATGTTTAAATCACCTTCTTCTACAGTTCAAGAATCTATGCCTCAGAGAGATCAATTGACTTACCCAAGACCACAGATTTAATGGTAGGGCCAGATTGTATACCATGTTTGCTTCTTCTTCTTCCTTTTTAACTTTTTTTAGATGTGGGATCTCACTGTGTTACCCAGGCTGGAATGCAGTGGTGCGATCATAGCTCACAGCAGCCTCAAACTCTTAGGCTCAAGCAATCACCTTGCCTCAGCCTCCTGAGTAACTGGCACCATAGGCATATACGACTGTGCCTGGCTAATTGTTATTGTTGTTATTATTTTTGTAGAGATGGGGTCTTACTTTGTGGCACAGGCTGGTCTCAAACTCTTGGACTCCAGTGATCCTCCCAGCTTGGCCTCCCAAAGTGTTGAGATTACAGGTGTGAGCCATTGCACCTGGCCCATGTCTTTTAATTTAGGGCAGTTCACTCTTCACTGTGCTGCTGCTTTTATATGTGTGTAACACCAATCAATTTTTAAAATTAAAGGATTCAATCAGTTAATCTCTTTGGAAGCAAAGAGTGTTGGAACAGTTCTCCAAATTCCATCTTTTTTCCTTAATTCATTTCTAAAAAAAAAAAAAAGGAGATGCTTTATTTACCAGAAAGGTTAATAACAGCATGGATTACATGCTAATCGTGTGCCTAGAAATCTGCGATACATAATAGCTCATTGGATTATTCATGTGTTTTTAACTCGTTAAAGCCTCAAAACTCTCATTGTCCCCATTTTATAGATGCTTAAACTGATGTTTGGCATCATTAAGTAAATTGTCCAAAGTCAAATAGTTGGCAAGTAAAAACTTGATATTTGAAACCAGGCTTCTTATTCTAAAGCAGGGGTGTCCAATCTTTTGGCTTCCCTGGGCCACAGTAGAAGAATTGTAAAATACACACTTAAAATACACTAACACTAACAGTAGCTGATGAGCTAAAAAAAAAAAAATCGCAAAAAGAATTTTATAATGTTTTAAGAAAGTTTATGAATTTGTGTTGGGCCACATTCAAAGCCATCATGGGCTGCATGCAGCCTGTGGACCATGGGTTGGAAAAGCCTGTTCTAGAGCTTGTATTTCTGTGTTCTTCCAGGAAGGACAGAGTGCTGAGTATTCCACAAAGAAAATTTTGCTGTAGAGCCAGAGTGGGAGGGAAATATCATATTCTTTTTCAGTTTACTAACTCTTCACTTTGTAATTTAACCTTCCATTTTAAAAGTTTCTCTAGGAAGTGAGAATTAATTTGGGGGAAGGAAGCCTCAATTATTCCTACTTCCAGCTGGTACAGATGCTTGGCCTCTTAGAACAGGTAGGAGAGAGAATGTTGGCATCTCTCTACTGAGATCATAAACTGGAGAGGCATCTAAATTTAGGAATGATGCCAGGTGGGGTTAGGGTGTGGGAGGGAGGAAAAGGATGTGGTGTTTGGGGTCCATAACTCAGGAAATGTGATGGCACCTAATTTCAGAGTGGCATGAGGCAAGCATTTAGGAAAAGAATAGTGAGCTATTGTTATGGGTTTTTTTTAAATGGGTGGGTTGTTTTTATAAAGTTTTATGAACAGGAAACTGAAGCAAAATGCTGATCCCTTTAGTTTTTGGGCTCTGCCAGCATCATTTTTTAAAATTTATTTTTGAATTTTGATGACAGGCACTTCCTTTAACACTTCTGGGGGTAAAGTGTAACAAGATACCCCCAACTGCATTTCATAACAGCAGAATCCGAATGAAGAGCAGTAGTTTCAGATCTTTTTGATAACACAGTGAAACAGAATTGGATCCCTCCCCAGCCAGGGAGAAAGAGAACTCTTTCAGTAACTGAGGCAGACTACAGAATGTTTTTCCCTTTTAAAACATTCTAGAAAATTTGCCTAACATGTGGAAAACCTCTAACATGCATTAAAATGGGGTAGGCTGTGGCAAAGAGAATACAGATCAAATTCTTCTCCTCCCATGGATCATAAAAACCCAGCCTTCCCAGCTATTGTTTCCCCTGGAAGATGACTTCATCTTAAAGAAAGTGGTTCTATCTGTTGTGCATTTTGGATGCCCTAAGCCAACGTTTTCAGGCATCTGGCTGCCAACTTTGGAGATGTTAAAAGTCTGTTTTGTTCCTGCAGGGCACTCTTTCATTGCCTACCTTGTAAAAGCTATGTCTTATTGCATTTTCCTGGCACCAGAGCAATCCTCATACCTACCCATTGCATTTGTTTTTTCTGAGCCTGCAGGCAGCACTGGGTTATTAAAGTTCAGGGAGGAATCCACGTGATGTTAGCTTTACAATTTTAATTCTCTCTTACCTTCTCTCCTCCCTTCCTCCCACTCAATGACAGATGAGCTTTGTTCACCATGTACTGCCTCTAAACCAGAATGTGCTCTCAAAATATCACTTGTAAGACTCCATTAGGGGAGAGCATGACCCCGCTTTGGTGGAGCAGTTAGCACAGAAGTTGCCTTCTTCCTTGGGCTTCTTTGAATAAAAAGTTCTTGAGTCTACAATTTCTCATCAGCCTGGAACTCCAGATGAGCCCCATGTTTAATCTTGCAGAAACACCAGACAAAATCTTTCCTCCCCCTTCAAAGTTAGCTCCTTGGGGCCCACCTCAAGAAAACAAAGTTTTGACACAAGTGGCACTAGGTGTGAGCTTGGCAAGTTGAGAAGGAAAAAACATTTTTGTAGAGTTTAACCTGAAATCAAAAACCTTGAGAAGGGAATGGAAGAAATCACCTTTAAAGGGAAGGAAAAGGGCAGATGAGCGTATTGCATGGTGTCTTTGAAAATAAGCTATTTGACGTCCCTTCATCACTAGTTTCAACCTCCCTGGCATGTCCACCTTGTTCAGAAATTAGTATGTAAACAGCTGAAAGGAACTGAAAGCTCTATCATATCTGAGAGGCTCCCACAGTCTAACACTGTAGGAGCTGTTTCTCAAAGTGGTTCGGACTCTTCAAGAAGCTAAACAATTAGGGGCCTTTCAAAATTTCAAACTATAGCCCACTATAGTATTCTGCATATGATCTTTTGGTCCCATCTCAGAAGTTTTAAATATGCCATGTTCCTCCTTGCAAAAATCTTCTCTGGATTTTCTTCCTCCATGACATGTTCTTTGATTAGCCTCATTTCAATTTAATTTTCATTTCAACAAATATGGGCCCAGCATCTGCTATGTACCAGCAAAATAGGAGGAGCTGGGGCTACTGTGATGAGCGAGATAGATCGGTCCCCTTGTAGGTTGCAGTCAGGCAGCAGAGACAGGCATAAAATCAGTCAGTATGAACAGGCTGACTATTGGGGAAGAAGAGCCACTTGGCACCTTGGGGACTCAAAGCAAGGATTGTCACAGACAATCTTGAATAAGAGGAATTAGCTAGGCACAGCCATCAGGTGATTATACTTACTAATGCTAGAGTTGAAGAACCAAATGACAGTGCAGTGACAAAATCTGGGGAACTAGTGACTAAGTGCTTCTGTTCAGCCCTCTATTGCCAAGGCTTTTGGTTTAATCAGAATTGTGGGCACATGAGAACTGTGTTTGCTGAGCTTGGTTTTGGCTGTGAGATGGAAAAAACTTCAAGTAAAGCAGAAACTGTCTTAATTCAGCTCCCACTTAACCAAAGCATTCAGTTAACCCACACACACTGGCCCCTCTGTGAAGTGCGTCTGATATCCACAGCACACAGAACACTTTAAGCTAAAAGGCTGCTTCTAGCACACACCAGCCAGTTTCCACCCCCACCGATGAGACACATATTTGCCAGGAGTCCCCAAACCTGTTTTTACTAGTTGAACTTGTTCTGTAATTAAGGTCTTCTGCCCACTCCCCCACCCCCACCACCTGCCCCAGCCCCAGCCCCAGCCCCAGCCCCAGCCCCAGGTCTTTTTTCAAGTAAACATCTCAAGCCAAGTGCCCTCCTCCCATTCTCTGTTCTACAGCTAATTTTTAAAAAATGTAAATGCTGTCATGCCCTCTGGCTATGAAGATAAGCATGTTTTAAGTTAGAACCTCGGATACCAGATTGTAAATCAAATCCCAAGAGCCAAAACACATCTCTGAGTGGGTGGTTTACTTGGTATAGATTTGTCCATTTTTCACGGTATCCTTGAGGCACCCATCTGTATATAGCATGCTGCGGCACACAGTAGTTCCTCAGTGCACATTTGTTTAGATGAACAAGTTAAGAGGCTCCCTATGCCCATTCTGGGTTTTGATGCCACAACCATTGAGCTAATTACACCCTGGGAACCTCAGGACTGAAGATTTGTGATCAGAGCATTTCTAGCCTGTGGCTGGGGGTTCATTATTGAGCTTGCTGATCATCATGATTCATAACACTATGTATATTACTCAAACAGTGCTCTTTGAGTGTGTTTTACAGATTTCTGGGTCTGCTGCCAAAGATTCCAATTCATTGGACCAAAGCAGGGCTCAGGGATGTATATAGATTTGATAAGCTTCTTAGTTTCACAGCAGGTGGTCTCTGGAAATGTCCCTGACTCCTCAGAAGTCATTTTTCTATAAATGTATAGGTTTTCAAATTCAGGCCAGATGATAGGAATACTGCCATATTTCACTATTACATACATTTCCCTCCATATGTTAACTTCTCTGGAATTGACAAGGGTCTTAAAATTGATAATATAATTTAATGAATAATATTTTTCTTTTCTTTTTTTGTTTTTGAGACTGAGTCTCTCTCTCTCTTTCTGTTGCCCAGGCTGGAGTGCAGTGGCACAATCTCAGCTCGCTACAACCTCTGCTTCCTGGACTCAAGCCTCCCTCAAGTAGCAGGGACTACAGATGCGTGCCTCCATGCCAGCTACTTTTTCTATTTTTTTGTAGAGACAGGCTTTTGGCATGTTGCCCCGGCTGGTCTTGAACTCTTGGGCTCAATTAATCTGCCTGCCTCAGATTCCCAAAGTGCTGGGATTATAGGGGTAAGCCATCACACCCAGTCTATTTTTCTTTCTAGAGAATACATAAAATAATAGCATATATTGCAGTCTTAGGTTTGATGAAATACGGTACTTTGATTACTGAGTTTGTAGTTGATGGAGGAGAAAACACCACTACTATCCAAAGTTGGAATTTACACATTTTAGGTTCTAATTTCTCTGAATAATGGTTAGTATATGAAACACACATAAATGAATACCTTAACTGTAGTCTGAGGGGAATAAATAAATAAATATGTGGCCAGGCACAGTGGCTCATGCCTATAATCCCTTTGGGAGTCCAAGGAGGGTGGATCACATGAAGCTAGGATTTTGAGACCAGCCTGGCTCACGTGGTGAAACCCAGTCTTTACTAAAAATACAAAAATTAGCCAGGCATAGTGGTGCACATCTGTAATCCCAGCTATTCGGGAGACTGAGGCAGGAGAATCACTTGAACCTGAGAGGTGGAGGTTGCAGCGAACAGAGATCACACCACTGCACTCGAGCCTGAGCCAAAGACTGAGGCTCTGTCACGAAGAAAAATAAAATAAAAACTAAAATTTTAAAAATTTTAGAAAGTTTTAAAAATTAAATATAACATATTTATTGAATTCTTAACCCCAAAATATGAAATACTCTCAAACAAAGGCAGACTCTTCAGAAAAGTTCAAAGATGCTCTAGTAGTACACAGAACATGTTTTATTAATTCTGTGGGCTGAACAAGCCTGCTGATAGTTATAAGTTCAAATTGGAGGAGGTCAGGATTCTTACTACAAAATCTTGAGTGAGGTTGAGCGTGATGGTTCACGCCTATAATCGCAGCACTCTGGGAGGCCGAGGTGGGTGGATCACGAGGTCAAGAGATCGAGACCATCCCAGTCAACATGGTGAAATCCCATCTCTACTAAAAATACAAAAATTAGCTGGGCATGGTGGCGTACACCTGTAGTCCCAGCTACTCGGGAGGCTGAGGCAGGAGAATTGCTTGAACCCAGGAGGTGGACATTGCGGTGAGCCGAGATCACGCCATTTGGGTAACAAGAGCAAAACTTCATCTAAAAAAAAAAAAAAAAAGCCTCAGGAACAAGATGGTGATTCTCTGGAGACTGAGTGCTCTTTCCTGTGCCCAAGGAGGCCGAGCTCTGTTGCTGCGAACTTCAGTGGTCAGACCTGCTCATATTTCAGCATTTCTTCAGGACCAACTTACCCCAGAATGGTGTGGAATGCAGCATATTCACTTGTCACCGAGTCACCATTCTGGTTCCAAGGCTGCATCTCTCCATTGGACTAGTGAGAGGGTTGTCAGTGTTTTGCTCCTGGGTCTGCTTCCAGCTGCTTATTTGAATCCTTGCTCTGCGATGGACTATTCTCCGGCTGCAGCTCCCACTCCTCATGGTCACTGGGGCCTTGGACAAGTTGTTACTGACTATGGTCATGGGGATGCCTCGCAGAAAGCTGCCAAGGCAGGGCTTTTGGCACTTTCAGCTTTAACCTTTGCTGGGCTTTGCTATTTCAACTATCACGATGTGGGCATCTGTAAAGCTGTTGCCATGCTGTGGAAGCTCTGACCTTTTTCACTTCATACTTTGAAGAATTGATGTATGCCTCTTTGCCTCTGCTTTGTTATGTCATTCAGCTCACAGTAAGGAAGAAATAACAGATAAGACTACTGGTGGACAGGCTTCTTCTCTTAATCCTTGAGGAAAAGGTTTGAGAGGAATTATGTCTAAGAAATTGTGAGACGGAGTTCTGTATTCTGGTTTGTAAATGGGGTTGCCTCCCAGCTTCTCATAAGACTCACAGTATAACTAAACATGATATATGAGCTTTTGCCTTTTAATTTATCAATCTCTTAAAGAGAATCCAGCTTTATTACTATTAATATATGATCAAACTTCTTTTTTGCCTTGGAAATAATGGACAAAGGGAAATACCGTTAATTCATGAATAAAAACTTTACAGAAAATTAGACAGTGTTTAATTTTTGAAAACTGTCCTCTCTATTCTGTAGATACCACCTACTGATGGAAACATATGCTAGGTAAATTTTTTAATTTGGAAATGCTGGTATCTCACATTATAAATTTCTAAATCCTAGGAAGAAAAGCTTATAGTGCTTCTGAATATAGAGAAGTTCCATTTAAGGGCAAAGTTCCCCTTGTAGACATATCAAAATATTACAGATTCTAAATTGAGAGTTAATTCTTAAATGTGTTCTACGTGTTCTAAAACAATCTGTCCACAAATATAAAACTCTAAGTAATAAATTGTTATTTTCACACTATGGGAATCTCTAATGTGAAAATATATTCTATGAAAATAATTTTTTAAAAAAATAAAATGTATAATAAAAATGTATTCTATGCTTTAAAAAAAAATCTTGAGTGAGACAGGTTTTTATTTACATAAACTGTGCATTCAGAAACACCATATATCAAAATAGTAAACACTTTAGGGTTTTTATTTAATCACTGAGTTTGCATTTCTGCCCCCCAAAACAAATATGGTGGCAAAGGTTGTCCTGGGAAAGAATAAGACTTGAAAAAATTTCCCTTCCCTGGTTTCTTCTTTATTATATTTCATTGAAACTTTAATTTTCACTGGTGTTTTAAAGTATATTTGCGTACCTGAAGCAGTTTAAGATAATTTTCTGTTCCCTCACTCCCTTACCCCTGTATTCCTCTTTATTCTTTTGTCTTTCTTGTGTTTTATGGATTTTGTTTTTCAGCTAAGGGTCAGGTTTGGGCATCAAGGAAGATTTGATTCAACAAAGAGTCTAACTTTGTTCTCCAAGCTGGATGGAGTGCAGTGGCACAATCTCAACTCACTATAACCTGTGCTTCCCAGGTGCAAGTAATTCTCCTTTCTCAGCCTCCCAAGTAGCTGGGACTACAGGCATCTGCCACAATACCTGGCTAATATTTGTATTTTTAGTAGAGACGGAGTTTCACCATGTTGGTCAGGCTGGTCTTGAACTCCTGACTTAAGGTGATTCACCCGCCTTGGCCTCCCAAAGTGCTGGGATTACAGGCATGAGCCACCATGCCTGGCCCAGGGATTTTTTTTTTTTTTGTAAATCTAGACTGGAGTCAGTGGATAACTCCTTAGGCAAAGGGATAAAAGTAATACTGGTATGAGTTTAGAGATGACCAGTGCTTCATTTGTGCCATTTTTACATATCTAGCAGTAAATCATGGTCCTCATCTGTTAGAATTCACTGCCAGAACTTCTTCAGGTTTTTCAACCCTTTCCCTTGTTTAATACAAGTATGTATTAAACATCTGCCTGGCATAGAAGTTCAGGAATAGGTGGAGAAGAGGAAGGGAGAAATGTATCTAATTGAACACTTGACTATAATAAGCATTCATTAATTATTTGATAAAGGAGTGAATGGATGGATGAACAAAACTTTAAGAAAAAAGAAACCCAGGCTGGGCATAGTGGCTCATGCTTGTAATCCCAGCACTTTGGGAGGCCAAAGTGGGCAGATTACTTGAGGTCAGGAGTTCCAGACCAGTCTGGCCAATTTGGTGAAACCCCATCTCTACTAAAAAAACAAAATTAGCTGGGCGTGGTGGTATACACCTGTAATCCCAGTTACTCAGGAGGCTGAGGTGTGAGAATTTGTTGAGCCCAGGATGTGGAGGTTGAAGTGAATAAGATTGCACTAGCCTCGGCAACAGAGCTAGACTCTTGTCTCAAAAAAAAGAAAAAAACAAAACTCACTATTCCTGATGTTAAAATATAATGCTAACAGGACAAAGCATTGTCCTGTTGGCTGAGAAGGTTGTCACCGTTACATTAGCTTCTGGTTTTAGCCTCACCCTGGGCCTGCTCTGCTCCCAGTCATGGCACGGAGATTTAAGGAGTTGATAGATGGTCTCCAAGCCACACCTGATTGTCTACAAGTCTAAAAGGAGCTAATAACCAGTGGTGGGCTTGTGTGTTGAGGCCCACCATTCCACCAGCAGCCCAAATGACCCCCGCTCAGCACAGGCCCTGTGCTTGGCACCGTTCCTGCAAATGCAGAACAGCCCTCTTTATTTCAGTCTCCAGGCTTCTGGCTGGTGAGGAACACTGCCTGGCTGTGAAACATTTTATAGGATTATAACAGGCTGTGCTGAAGGCAAGTTCTGAAAGACACTTTGTGCCGTTGCTTTGAGTGAAGCTGCCTGTTAGAGCAGTGTTGTTCCTAAGCCCATAAACACACACACAGGCAGAATGGGGAGTGCTGGGCTCCTGTGGCCACTTAGCTTGGTGGCACTGCAGGGCTGGACCAGCTTCCCTCAACTGTGACACAAACCTCAGGGATGTGCTTAGAAGCCTTCCTGCAGGACTGCCTGTTTTCTGACAGTATTTGATCACGGACATCCCCGAATAGAGTCCCAGGCAAATTGCATAAAGCCCAAATCTGTCAGTGGTGGAGCAATACATTACATATGGGGAAGGTGCTAAAGTCAGGGACCAGGGTGGAAATTGCGTGAAGTCAAAAATACTCCTGAAAATGTGTTAAATGCCTCAAGGACCACATACATGGCTTGTGTGTACCCAGAATTGCTGGCTTGAGTTTGTGGGCTTTGTTGTACCAAAAATATATGTTTTTAAACACCAGAATCCTATTCTGGGTGAGACATTCATGCTATAAGAAGTTTGGAAGAATCAGACCACCCAGGGGAATTCCAGATTCCTATCTTTCCTTTTGTCATTTATGCTCTTTTTTTTTTAACAGCCCTTATTGAAGTTGTTACAGGCCATTAGCAATCTCTGTGCTTCTGTCTCTCTCTCTCTCTTTGCCTAGCACATGTAGTGGAAAAGAGATATGTTTGCCATATATATGTTGTGTAGCCCTGTGTATTTATTGATTTTTATGGCTCCAATATCTTTTAAGGAGAGCAAAGAAATGCTTTAAAGAAGATGGATACGGCAGCCTTCTCATCAATCAATATGACTACTCATTGCTCTGCAATAGTTGTTCTTCAACCTAAGTTGCACTTTAACATTTCTTCAGAGGCCAGGCACAGTGGCTCATGCCTATAATCCTAAGCACTTAGAGAGGCCAACATGGGCGGATCACTTGAGCTCAGGAATTCAAGACCAGCCTGGGCAACATCATGAAACTCCATCTCTACAGAAAATACAAAAATTAGCTGGGCGTGGTGGCACATGCCTGTAGTCCCAGCTACTTGTGGGGCTGGGGTGGGAGGATTGCTTGAGCCCAGAAGGTTGAGGCTGCAGTGAGCTGAGATCATGCCATGCACTCCAGCCTGGGCAACAAATTAAGACCCTGTCTCAAAGAAATAAAAAAACACATTTCTTAGGGTTTGTTTACTGTTACAATGGACTTAGGGCATGTCAGACTCCCTGCTCGGCCCTGACAATACTGCAATGAGCAACCCATTTCTAGAGCTATCAGACTTTGCCAGCATGACTCTTTTCTTTACCAAGTGCTATAAGTACATTTTCCAACTGGAGAACAAGGCCCAGCAAGTTCTTCTGGGGGTCAAAGCCAGTGCCTTTGATGGTCAGCGTCTTCTAGTTGAGATGGTGGACTGTGAGTGTCAGAAGAGCAGGCAGAAGAAGGGAATAAGAAGTGGCTTGAGTACTTAGGCACAGATTCTTGCTGGCCACGCAAGCCCTGTGTGAGGCATGTCACTGCCTCTGGCCCTGCCTTTGGTTACATAGTTAATCAGTGGCTATTTGGAGATGAGGTTCCCCTCACACCCCCACCAAGCTTGGCTAAGCTTTTAGGGCACTTGTGTGAGCTCCCCATCAATGCAGCTCAGGCTAAAATGATAAAGTTGTTTTCAGGAATACAAATAGGAAAAATCAGTGGTCTTGAGGTGCTCTTTCCCACCCCATGCCTCTTCTTAGGCAGTTTTCTTCCCATTGCTTCAGGTTGTATATTAAGGGAAAAAAAAACTCAGGTACTCTCTTCCAATTTTAGTTGGAACCTCCACTCATTCAGGAGCCCCATTTACATATGTGGTGATAACAGATTGGCTACACAGGGCCTGATTCTTCTTGCTTCCAAAGGCAGTTTGTCTGCACTATCTGGGTAGGAAAGTAGGTGGATTTAGTGCCAGGGTGTGGACTTGATACCTGGGATGAAGAGCTATGTATTATGAGGTTTCCTGCCTGAAAAGTAGGAAGTGCTGAGTTCTGACCTCAGCTAGAAGCAAAGAACACTGTAACAGAGACTAGATATCACCATTCCTCCTACCCCATGCATCCCCAGGAAGTAAAAAAAGACAATGCTTCGTAGATCACTACCTGATATAGTCATGGCTTTTCACATGAGGAGAAAAAAGATTCAACAGTGCAGCCTACAAAATAACTTTTGAGAGATGATAATTTTCGGGCTTGGTCTGGTGGCTCAGGCCTGAAATTCCAGCACTTTGGGAGGTCGAGGCAGGTGGATTGCTTGAGCTCAGGGGTTAGAGATCCACCTGGGCAACATGGCGAAACCCTGTCTCTACAAAAATACAAAAATTAGCCGGGCACACTGGTGCAGGCCTGTAGTCCCATCTACTTGGGAGGCTGAGGTGGAAAAATCACTTGAGCCCAGGAGGAGGTTGCAGTGAGCTGCGATTATGCCACTACACTCCAGCCTGAACAGAGCAAGACCCTATCTCAAAAAAAAAGAAAGAAAAGAAAAAGAAAAGATGATAATTTTAATATTTAAAAAAACTATAATTTCCCGAGTAGTTCCTTGAATCAATATATTTTTCTTTTCTTCTCTTGAGACAGGGTCTCATTCTATCACGAGGCTAGAGTACAGTGGTGCAATCATAGCTCACTGCAGCCTTGAACTCTTGGGCTCAGGCAATCCTCTCACCTCAGCCTTGGGATTAGCTGGGACTACACGCATGCACTACCATGCCCGGCTAATTTCTAAATTTTTTGTAGAGGCGGGGTCTTACTATGTTGCCTAGGCTGGTCTTGAACTGCTGCCCTCAAGCCACCCTGCTGCCTGGCCTTCCAAAGTGTTGGGATTACAGGTGTGAGCCATTGTACCTAATCAGTTTTTCTTTCTTTGTTTTTTTTTTTTCTTTTTTTTTTTTTTAGACAGGGTCTCACTCTGTCACCCAGGCTGGAGTGCAATGGTATGATCTTGGCTCACTGCAACTTCTGCCTCCCTGGCTTAAGTGATCCTCCCACCTCAGCCTCTGGAGTGTTGGTATTACAGGCATGCACCACCACGCCTGGCTAATATTTTGTATATATATATTTTTAGAGACAGGGTTTCACTGTTGCCCAGGCTGTACTTTTCTTATAAAAAAATTAAAAACAAGAGCGTAAGTCCCTTTTGTTCACTATCTTTAATTCTTTAATCTCAAGTGCCTCCTTTTAGCCA